TCGCACAGCCAGTACCACGACTCGTGTGTGCCCAAGCCCGTCAACCCCCCACCGGAACCCGCGGCGCCTGGGAAGCCCGCCAAAGACGGGGACTACAACAAATGTGACGCCGTCACTCAGGACGTCATCTGGAAGCAGAGTGTGCACACAGAGAGGAGGTGTCTCAAGAACTGGTCAGTGTGTTGTCTGTTTGTTTGTCTGTTTGTTTGTTTGTTTGGTCATCTGGAATCAAAGTGTGCGCAGAGAGAGGTTATGTCTCAAAAACTGGTTAGTGTTTGCTTCTTTGTCTGTCTGTCTGTCTGTCTGTCTGTCTGTCTGTCTGTCTGTCTGTCTGTCTGTCTGTCTGTCTGTCTGTCTGTCTGTTTGTCTGTCTGTTTGTTTGTATATATTTGGTCAGTGTTTGCTTGTCTATGTACCTGTCATTTATCTATGTCTATCTATGTCTATCTGTCTGTCTATCTGTATGTCTGTCTGTCTGTCTGTCTGTCTGTCTGTCTGTCTGTCTGTCTGTCTGTCTGTCTGTCTGTCTGTCTGTCTGTCTTTCTGTTTGTCTGTTCATCTGTGCGTTTATTTTACTTCTTTTCGTATGTATGTTTGATTTGTTTTATTGTTGTTCTAAGATCGGTCTACATTTGAAGCGAAAATTGTTATCATTATGTTGAATGGCATATCTACAGTAGATACTAAACAAACGGTTAGATAGACAGACAGACACACAGACAAACTGATAGACAGACAAACAGACAGACAGATAGATAGATAGATGGACGGACGGACAGACTGACAGACGTACAGACAGATAGAAAGAAAGACAGACAGACAGACAGAGGGGGGGTGAATAGTTAAAGATTATAACTGCATTTTTTATAGCATATACACTGTGCGGCATGCTCTATGTGTTTTACAATTTTTGTTACGCAAAGAGACCCTAGGAAAACCCAGAAATATTCTGGGTTTCCAGGAGGCACACAGTGCAAGCTGCAGATTGCAGGTGCTCCAATACCAACAAACTGACGAGATACTTTGCTGTCTATAGCCCGGTACCCATTCCCACCCGGGTGAAGTGAGGACACCTCACATAAAGTGCCTTTCGCAAGGAAACAAATTCGGGCCCTTTATGGGATTTCAACCACGACCTTGCAGTTGCGAATCCAAAAGCCTACCCACCATGCCATCGACGTCACACAGTAAAAGTTGTGTGCGGGAAAGCGGAGTTGGGAATGATATACAGTGTTGCACCCCACTAGGCACATGGCATGCTTTTGTGGTTGGTTGGCGGGTGCTCTGGTGTGGTTTGCTTCTTCTTTCCTATCAAACATCTATCGTCCTAATCTCTCCTTTTTCTTTTTTTGTGTATGTTACTGTCTTGTAACACATCTATCCTTTGACACATGTATTACCTTATTGTGTTGCAAGTGTCTTTAAACTCTTATTGAAACTAAAACTTAAATGACATGCTTTTGATTATTGTGCTACTCGGTTGGTGTCATCCTGGGCTAGAGTACTGATTAGCCAGGTTTGAATCCACAAAGGTGTTCTTCGATGTACGTTGTGTGGATAGTTTTCAAGACTCTCTGCCTACTTAACTGGCGCCTATCTGAGTTGGACATTACTTTTCGGAGGTACCTCTTGTTTATTAAAATTTATTCATTTATCCATTTCTTTCTTCCTTCCTTCCTTCCTTTCTTTCTTTCTTTCTTTCTTTCTTTCTTTCTTTCTTTCTTTCTTTCTTTCTT